TGGAGAGAAATTTCAGTGCCCTTTGCAGGTTGATCAAATAGAGGAAACAAGTATTGATTTAAAATGCAATACTCTTATATAATAAATCATCTATCCGAGAAAAAATGAAAATGAAAGCAAATATTAAATTATTCTAAGCACGGTAAATGAGATTAAAACTTGTTTTTTTTTTTCTCAACTTCATGTTCAAGGAATGCTCAGTGAGTATCTCCTTGAGAATGTGATGCTTGTTAAAATCATTTTCACAGAATAATTATTGCAGCTACAATGAAAGAATTGTGACATATCACATGATCAAGAACAATAACTCACCAGATGCTTGTGTTATTTCAGTGAGCTGGACTAGAACTGAAGGAAGTACAGCAAAAGTCAAATGATTAAGTCCTGTTGCTAACATTGTAAATTTCCCAGTGGATTGTATTCCCCAGCTGTCTGCATGGAGGGGATCACATTTCTTAATATTTAGTTTTAATAGTGGGTACCAGATTTAGGATGTGGACTTCTACTTTATGAATTTGTACATGAATGATCATAGAGAAATATACCCTGTAATGTTTTTTCTCTTGTTAACCTTTTTCTTTAAATGTCTCCTGTCCCAACCAGCCTTGAAATTCTCTATGAGTATCCCCATAAGATAGTATTATAATTCTGTTTAATTACCTATCTCCAACTCTCAGCAACTGTAAGCCCCATGAGGACAGGACCAGGTCTCTTTTGTCTCCTGCAGGAATGCATTTACTCTTCAAAATTCAGCTCTAACTTAACCTACACCATAAAGTTCTCGCCAGATTGTCTGATTTGTTGCCTCCTTCTGTTTCTACTGCACTTTCAACTGTTAGAGTAGAATTTATTGTATGGTATTAGGGTATTGGATGTGTCATGTTTTTTGCCATATGGTGAATTTATTTTGAACAAAAACCTTTCATATTCATATTCCCAGTACAGCACCTATAATAGTTTGGTGTTTTGAACTTAGTAACTACACCCACCTCAGAAATCTCTCATTCAGCATGTCCAAAATTGATAATGATTTTTACCCTTAAAACATGCCCTCCCTTTTATATTCCTGGTGTGGTTGGTGGACCTTCATCTACTCGTTCTTACATGTTAGGACTTTGGGAACTTAATCCTTTCTACCTTTCACCATCCAGTCTACATCCAGTTAGTCACTAAATCCTATGAAGTTTGCATTTTGAATCACCATCATGTCTATTCTTTCTGTTTCTATGGTTGGTTACTTGACTTAATTGAACGTGGTCTGCTCTACTGCTTTTCAGCTGGGTTTCCAGCCTTACACCTTTAACCTACATTTTGCAACACTGTCAAAGTAATATTCTAAGAAAAATAAATAAAATCAGAAATTTTTCCTGCTTAAACTTCTTAAATTCTCCAGTTCCACCCCATTACCAATAGAATGCACCCAATGCTTCCTGGCATGGCAAATAAAGCTCTTTATGATTCAAATAATGTTTTTTTTTTAGATTGCTTAATGTTGTTGACCCCATTCTTTTCATTCCACAAACACTCATTGGGTGTTTACCTTATATCCATTTTTTTGCTCACTGGACAAAATGCTGTGTTACATATATCACATATCATATCCAAATGTCATATATATTGAATATCATATATGGTAGGCATATCAAGATGCAAAGGACATGTTGACATCTTTGAGAAGCTAGTTCTAGTAGAGCAGACCCCTGTGAAAACTGAAACATATGAGTAGGTGTCATATGACTAATACCACATTATTGAAAACACAATTTCATCAGTGTGAAAGGAAAGATGTCTCTATTTTCAGAAAGTCAGAGAAGGCATCACAGAAGACATTTGAGTAGTTACGCAGGCATTTGTCAAGTGGACAGAGGGAAGGGAGTCATTCTGATCATAGGTGATGGCACAGACAAAGACAAGGAGACTGTAAGAATTCGTTGTGCCTAGGGAAAGAAAAAGTCTAGTGGGTGAGAGTAGGTTGTGGTAAGGGGCAGTTGCCAGAGAGAAAACTGGTACAGT